TGGTACGGCGACGGTCCCGGGTGCAAGACGGGGCAGAGGCGGTTCGTTATTTGCGGCCGTCGGCCGACCACATGTAAATCACGAAAGGAGACTTCGACGGCGAAGCCGTACGAGAGTAACTGGGACGATGATAGAGGTGACTCGCTTTCGACGAGGTCGCGCTCATGCGGTCATATCGAGGGATAGAGAGAGAGAGAGAGAGAGAGAGGGAGAGGGAGAAAGAGAGAGAAAGAGAGATGTCGTCGAGTGAATCGTGATTAATTCGGAAAATGGACACATATTCGTCGATGACGTCGCTCGTCCGCAATTCGCGCTCCCGAGGGTTATCGATATTTGCACGGTATTTCGGCGTTTTTCAATATTCTCCCAGTGTTTCAGTATTTCGATATTCTCTCGAAAATTCGATTTTTCACTCGCGAAACAAAACAACCCGAATGGCGTATTCCACGAGCTCGCAACGAACGGATGATTTACGTCTTGGACGACGGAACGGATTCTGGGCTTTAAAGCGACGCGAAGATCCGCAAGAGGTGTTAACCATGACACGTCTAATTTCTCAGGAGAGACAAGTTACATCGGTAACCGGGATCTGGCAGGAGTATATTTTATTCAGTGAGACGAGATAATTAACGGAACTCCACGAGGTTGGAACGAAGCCGTGGATGCGGCTCGCGACCGACCGGTCGATCCGGACGAAGTGAAGGCGGGAGTAAGAGTAAGCTACGACGAGTATGCGCGCGACCGAATGCAAAAGTGCTTCCCGATAACGAGGAGAGATTCGCAATCGCCGAGCGAGTCGAAATCGATCCGTCCGAGCATTTCCGCTGGCATCGCGAGCGATCTAATGATCCGCGATTATTTATCGCGCCGTTTTCGATTATTTTCAGGTTTGTTATGATTAATTCGCGGATGCAAATGTAGTTTGAGCTCTCTCTCTCTCTCTCTCTCTGCTTGTGTTTTTTCTTTGCATAAGATATAATATCCGCGATAATTTATCTCTATATAAAGAGAATTTTATAACAAGAGTTACTGTAGAGAATCTTAACCGGGAATAGATCGACATTCCGCAGTAACTATTCTTTTATTTTTCATTTCAATATGCTATTTATATTTTAGGAACTGTAAAGTATCAATGACGTGTGTATTTTGCGTAAAATATAATATTCGCAATAATTTATTCTTACATGAAAAGAATTTTATAGTAAAGATTACCATAGAGTTTTCTATCCGCGGAAAAGATTAACATTCTGCCTTTTATATCATATCTGCTACTTATATTTTAATGTGCCATTAAAAATTTGGTTAAAATTCTAGCGAAATTTACCATGAACAAAAAAGAAATAAAACAAGCATAAATAGTTAAACACGGCTGTTGATACGAATATTTAAATTGTGAGAATGTAATAATGTTTGACAGTATTAATGCACTGTCAGTATTTCACGTAAACTAATCCTGAGAGCTAGGATTGTGAAATTTCAAGTTTTTTTACGTTAAGTCTGGAAAAATTTTATAATTGAATTATATTCACACTGATGTATGTCAGTACATGTCGCGCGTTCCTGAGAGCCTGTTTATATGTAGTATGAAATTTTATTGCTGTTCCATAGGACCGGTTGTCCCAATTTCTTGGTAAGTTAACTGATAGTTAAATCATATGTCTGCCTTTGCCTACATTGAAAGAAAATAAAGACAGACATATGCTTTAACTATCAGTTAATTTACCAAGAAGTTGGAACAACCGGCCCTTAGTACGACAAATTGCTGGCAGTCTATCCCTGCACTGCTAGAAATCTAGTAAAATTGGAAAGAATTTATACGAAGGAAAACAATAGTATTTTCTCCGTGAGTCTGAAGATTGAAACATCGCGAGCTGCGAGGCCATCTTTGTAAATATATCAAACTTTGCAGTTCGCGTCTGTATTTTGCCAAAAAAGAGTTTGCTTTGGCCAAAGTTTTCGGGAGGTTTCCGAGGTCGATTTCTCCTTGACAAAAGTCTCCCTCGTTTCCGTGTCCTTGCAATCGTTGTTCCACACGAGAGAAATGAAGTTTGGCGCGGCTCGCGTGCCAAAAGATCGACGACGGCTCCGCGAAACGGAGCTTTCGTCGAGGTCGGGGCTCAAATAAAAGCGCCTCAACGAAATTCCCGGGCCGTGTTTCTCCTCGAGATGTATTCTCGTGTAAGCACTCTCACTATTATGGCGCCATAAACAACCAGGTATACCATGACCGGGCCGACAGCGACGAAGGAACACTTCCTCCTAGAAATTTCTACTCGTCGCGCTCGCTACTCGTCGCGGTAGCACTTCTCGCAACCTCAGCCACCACGGCCAGCTAGTTTTTCACTCGTGACCGCTATATTTACAAACAGTGGCGTATTAATCATTCGGCACGGAATCCGTTACGAAGGTGTACGTGTACGAAGCTCGTACTCTATTCAGCTCCTGTCACGTGTTAAGTTTATCGCTCAGGCGAGATCTTCAAAGATCGGCTCTCTCGTGCGATTAACCGATACTCCGTTTTCTCCTTCTCCAACGAGTATCTTCGAGTTATCTTTGTTTGAGCAAGATATTATCGAGAGGCAAAACGCACCGTGTCCGATATTACGTGCATCGTTTTACATAACACCGTTTCCAACGAAAAACTGAACCTCGACTTTTAATACTTGGCTCCCTCATTTCCGCGATTATCGAAATTCATTGTCTGATAGGGCAATGCGTGAAGATACTAGGATCATCAAATGTCATCATTTAAAGTGAAAGCGGCATCGAGAACCGGCGTATCCTCGTGCGACTCGAAATTAAAATCGCGTCCCTACGCGAGCCGCTCCTCCGCGAAGTTGCTCCAAAATAGTCCCGATTATAACTGCACAGGAAAAACAATATGGCTGCCCTACACATAAATCTGCTCGTGCCAACCAGACTTAACATTGAATCTGGTTGGCACGAGCAGATTTATGTGTGGTTCGACCATACTGCATCTTCGAAATTAAATGTACCTTACATATTTCTCGCGCATTCAGTGCGAAACGCGGCTAATTTCTACTGCCGTTTCGTATTGCTGTTGAACTCAACTTAGCTTTCGTATTGAACGAATCGCCCTCGTATTCGAACGCTCACGGTAAACATGTCGCTTTGAACGAAGGTCAAAATACGGGCGTGACGAGCAATTTCTCGAAAGACTCCTGAGGACTCCTTCTCGAAACGATCGTCATCCACACGCGAGACGCAGCATCCAACGCGATTCTCAAGCCCTTCCGCGCGATTCGCACCGAAATTCCCCGGACGCACACACGTCCCGCGGTCCTCGTCGTCGAGCACGTCGTCGGTCGCGGGTCGATAGCCCTCGTCGCGCACCTCGTCGCCCCCGCCGAGTGACATCTTCAGGATGCCACGAGAGCCCGTCGTCTCGAGGCTCATGAATTCGCGAAATCGCGAGATGCGACAGAAAGAGAAAGAAAGAGGGAAAGCGAGAACCAACGTGCGGGCGTTGGAAGGGCGAGGGCTCGTCATCGTTGGCGGCGTTGGCGGCGGCGGTGGCGGCGATGGCGGGGTACGAGGAAATCGATTGCGACGTCTGGGGCCACGAGACAGGCCCTCCGTGGCCTCCCTCGTCTAGAGGATGCAGTTGACGAAGAAAGTCGCGCGGACGAGAATGAGCGGCGAGCGCGGAGGAGATGGGCGAGTTGGGGTAGCGCGAATGAGGGCTAAAGCTAAGTGGCTAGGTGATAGTCAGGCTGGTGTGTTCGGCTGTTAAGTGTACTCACACTAGGCCGCTGATGCCTACAGCCGCCTCCTCGTTGCGTCCTCGTCCTCGTCGTCGAGCCTGCAAGACCTGCTATCCGCTAGCCGTGTGCTCTCCGCGCTCGCCGGGAGTCCTTCGTCGCGCTGCCGGGTGATCGCGAGCACACAATGCGGCGAAAGAGGGACCGTAGGAGCAGGAGGAGGAGGAGGAGCAGTGTGCGGGGTGATAACGAGCAACGCCGGGGTGATAACCAGCGAACCGCGCGCTCTCTCTCTCTCTCTCCTGCGCCTCTCGTACAACACTCCGCGCGACACTGCTCCGAAATATAGAGAGAGAGGAAGGTCAGCAAGTGGACAGGCAGACCGACTGACTGACTGACTGACTGACTGACTGACAAGCAGGGAGAGATTATTGTTTCGCCTGAGTGGGTGGAGAACGCTGAAGGGGGCGCATCTGAGGAACGTACCGAAAAGGGAAGCAACCACCGCCGCTCTCGTACCGTTCGCGCGGGTGTCTCGAGCCTGACTGACACTCGGCTTCGAAGCTCCGGATCGCGGAGCCGGTCGACCGACCCCTTCGCACTCTCCGATTTGTTGTCTTGCTCTTTCTCTCTCTCGCACTCTCCCTCTCTCTGCCTTCCCTCTCTTCGTTATGCCGCCAATGTTGCCTCTCTTCCTGTCCCTCTTCCTCTTTCCACTCGTTCTCTCCTTCTCTTTCCCTCCTTTCCTCCCCCTCTTTCTCTCTCTCTCTCTCTTCCCCTGCGTCTCCCTCTTCCCAGCCGTCTCTCTCGTTCCAATGGCGACGCCGTCTCCGTCTCCTTCCGCCGCTCCACCGACGCCCATCGCATGTATCGGGTGGTTTTCCTTCACCCAGCCGCCCGTGCCCTTCGCCTCGGACGCTTCTCCTCGGCAGGAAGTCGGGAATTAGATCGACACCCCGTATGTGGCAGAGCAAGCACGCGAGCGAGCGAGTCGGAGCGGCCAAGAGTGCCCGCTGCCTTGTGGTTTCTCATAGGGCCCCGAATGCCCATGGACGAGATTCCCGGACGAGAGGCAGATATCGACGCACATTCTGTTTCGTCGTGTCTGAGTGACTCCGGGACCGCGTTTGCGAGATCTCCTCGGCTTCGAGATTCGAACGCGATCGGCGTGAAGGAGTTTAATTAAGAAATGCACGCGAGGGTAAGGGTTGTACTGCAAAGGAAAGGGTCGTGATCGTTGCCCCGACGTAGTTTTAGACGAGGAACATCGATAGTGCGTACGTTTGGTATCTTTTATTGATCTTACCAGATGTACGTGACAATTGTGCCGCGCATTTCCTAGTTAAATGAAAGTGACGTGCGATCTGCGGGGACCTCGTCGGTGGGGGATTGGCGCGGCTTCGGTAATACGCGTGATTTAGCGAATTTCAAGAAAGATACTGAGAGGCTCTGAAGATAAACAACTAGTCAGAAACATAAGCTAGTAAGAGCCGCCACTGGACGTTGAGTACGATAATTTAAATCTCAGCGAGAGGATAAAATTGCTGGACAGTATAATGTGAATTTCATGGGGAATTTCGCGTACATATCAAAGAGATTGATACACGCCGCAATAAATCGCTCTTCCTGAGAAGTACGAGTATACCGATTATATAACTATATAAACGAACTAGCGCTATGTCCGTAAGTATAAGACTAATTAACTAATTGGTCCAGTGCTCCTCTCGTGTAGCCGATGCGAATCAATTCGCCAATTAGCGCATCTCTCGCACTGCGGGAGCGCTACGTTCATTCGAACGATACAGAACGTCAGGTAAATCCTAAAAGACCACACATTGTTGATCGATTACGTGGAAACTCGTGTCTTTCTTTGGGTCTAACATTGTTGGCCAGTCTATGAATTATCTCGAGATTTGACAATGATAAGACAAGACAATGATAAGACAAGACCAGCAAAGGTTGAACAATATTGAAAATGGTCGATCAATGATATATTAAAAACGCCTGACGTACGTGGACGTCCGTTAGACAGTTTCAGAATATCTTTGAGAACATTCCTGGTCCTCACCGCTATCTATAGTAAGTTCAATAGACGAACCAATGAATCCTAGACAGCACAACCTACTAAAAGACATCCAAGAGACATCCCATTTTTTTAGTGACTTACTTTTATACATCTTTTAGTAATTTGTGCTGTCTGATATTAGGAACGAGTCGAAGTCACGAGGAGCCGAGGACGTCCTTCGAGAATCAAGTTAGTTCACTTAAGAACCCGGTTAATCTAAGAGCTCAGTTAATCTAAGAGCTGACTTTTTCCTCTTTCTCCTGCGGGATGTCCTCGATCATCACGCTATCCGTGGGTATGAGCTTGACCCGCTCGGACGGGTTGGCTCTCATGAGGATAAACGGCAACTCGGCTGTCAGTTCGCCGCCCAACGCGCCCAAGTAAAGCTTGACCTTGACCGCGTAGGACACGATGATGCCGAAGGAGTCGCGCACGTCAGGCGAGGTGAGCAGAGTGCTGGACGCGAGCTCGCTCTCCTCCCTCTTCATCATGCCGTCCAAGGCGATGCCACGGCGGAACTTGTTACTCTCCATGTCGGGCTTGAGGTAAAGCACCTTCTGCAGGTTCGATCCCGGGTTGATAGGGCAGCCGTCTTGGGTCTCGACCGCGGCGATCACCGTCCTGAATTGGCCGTTCTGGAAGATCACCACGTCGATACCTTGCTGCACCAGTGCCTTGATCTTCTTCACCACCTTGTTGCTGTTGTTGCGCACGCACACGTTGACGACTATCGTCTCGTCGTGATGGTACAACTGCTTGTCCAACGTGACCTCGAGCTCGAGCTCGCCCGGACTTAAGAGGAAGTCCTTGCGCACCACTGTGCAAGGCTGGCGACCCTGCTTAGTGGGCGCGTACTGAATTTTCCGGACACCCATCGCGATGGTACTGCGCTTGTGGGTCACATCGGTTTCCGTCTCGCCGCAGTAGACCTTCACGTAGTAGCTGACGCCGCAGGGCTCGCCGGTCTCGTTTGGCCCGGGCTGAAGGGTCACGCTGGACGGCGAGCACTGCGGAAAGGTGAAGGTGAAGGGTACCGCGTTCGAGCCCAGTTTCTTCAGCAACCTGTTTGGCGCACACGTGTCGTAATCCTTATTAATTATATTGTGCGCAATTCTCCGTTTACTAATCTTATAATTTAACTCGATTCCATATTTCACATTTGATTTATTAAAAATATTTCGAGGCGACAAAGATATCAAATACTTGGTAATAAATATCCGTATGATTGAGATAGAGAGAGTTGTCATCAAGAGACTAGCACGGTCTCTCAAACCGTTAACATTCTTCAGATCTATTATATATCGCACGACTCTATTTAACGCATTCTCTATTTAATATTTCACTAAGACTCGTCGAGTTTAAAGACAGATACGTTTCTCGATATCCTTTTTTATCTTTTATAATTATAGTTAAAAGAAATTCCGACCTGTCCTGTAACTTGGTGGGGTTGGACTCAGGCTTCTTAATCTGCGGGAAGATCTGTTCCGATGCCAGGTAAAGATCCTTTTGGAAATTTAGGCCCATTACCTCGTCCTCTTCGCGACCGTACCGGAAACTGCATACCAGTTGGCACCATACCTTCCTGCCGCTGTCCACGTAGTCCTGATTAATCAGGACTACCCCGTCCACCGGCTCGATACCAGACAGATAGTCGACAAAATCGCGTTTGCCCAAGTAAACCGCGAGCTTCCCATTGGGCGAACACTTCTTGTAGACCTTGAAGTTCGCCACCATGGTAAAAAGATATCTGCTTTCTTTTACTCGTTCGGAAGATGACTAGATTGTCGAACGACTGGGTGGAGGGCTTATATATATCGGGTGGGCTGGTGGTGACGCATGATAGACTTACAAGGGTTTCTTAAGTCGTTTAGGCACGCGGATGAAGCAGCGTTTAGCTTGCACGCGCTGTGACTTCTGCGTTTTCGAGATATTCGCGCATGATGTGGATTATTTACGACGCAGTATGCTGCTCATTCCTCCCTAAGTATGAATAATTTAATTTCCAGGATATATATGTATATATATATTTTTTTTTTTAATGTAGCATTAATATAAATAAAAAGGAAACTTTCACGAGCATGCATCTCTATGCATAGTCTTTTCTCGTTTCCTTCCTTTCCTTTTTCGTAGAGACAATCATAATATGCATTTTCGTAACTTTGACTCATGTCACTGATCTTCGGCCTTCTTAGGCTTCGTTTCGATATTAAAGGCTTCGAGGTTTTAAAATCGAAATGCACAACTTTGAATGTATTCTTTCTTGATTTGATATGTTCTTTCGTATGATTAATTGTATAATTGAATATGCTACATAATAAAAAACGATTTATTAACATGCAATAAGATACAATATTACCAATGTAATTTTTTTATGTTAACATAAAAATATGTAATGTCCAACTCCGAACTGAAAAAATAATTCTACATAAAAATAAAAGATGGTTTAATATTATTCCTTCTTATTATTATCCTTTAATCGATACAAATCTCGGTCAAACCAACAGAAAGTGGTCGAGCCTCGTCCAAATGGATATTACCCAGACAGCACAATGTCCAAATTCGGGTCATAAGAAACGTCTTTAAAAAAACATCTTTAAAACAAGTTTATAAGGTGTTGTCTTAAAGATGTCTTAAAGACATCCTAAAGACATCTTATGACTCGATTTTGGACATTTGTGCTGTCTGAGTACTTATTTTACTTGCTACCACAATCTCCAAAAATAAGTATAACTACGGTTTAAACTAAAATAATTACCTCAAATCTTTAGGTTTGAGTCTTAGCTAAAGATGTGTAAAAGAGTTTAGTGTGCTAGCTAAATCAATTTTTATACAAAATTACACAAAACTGATTTAGCCGAGACTCAAACCATTTCTGATTTGTTCAGCCGAGATGCGAACCTTGTGAATATTATCTCTTACCTCAATTACCCTCAGAAGAGTCGTGGATGTTGGTTACGTAGTTCATCCTCACTTCTTTTGAGGCGCTTCGAAATAAAGTTACTGCTAAATCGCAATCATGGTCAATCGTTCTCAGGCTTCCGTGATTGTGACTTTATATAGCAGCAAGAAACCGGTTTAGAGACATATAGAAGCCATCCGTAGTCGATGTGTCTGTAATATCAACATAAAACAAATTTCATAATTCCTGATGGTATAACCATATATATCGTATAAACAGTTGTTATAATTATATATACATATATATATATAATATTGTATACAGTTGTGTGTGATGTGTGTGGAATTTTTAATGTTAACATATTTTTCTTTCAAGTAGTATGACTCAACGGTATGTCAGATATATCTAGTTGTAAGTTATATTCTATAATTGTAGAGAAGAATTTGCATTTTTTAATAGTAGGTTTATATAGTAATAAAGTAATATTATTCTAAGGAACAACCTTCTATTAAAAATCTATGAAGATCATTCAAATTGTAAAATATCGAATCGATCTTTCTTGACGAAGGCGGAATCAAATATCGATTAATCGATAAATATTGTCTGTTCCTAACCGCACATGTATTATTTATATTATAGCCGGTTGGACAATCCGGGCCTTCTAGAATTATCCAGAATACAGTGATTATTTTGGGAAGATACATGTGGAAAACGATCAATGCACGAAGATGTTAAAGAATTCGGATATCATATCCGATGATGCCGTAAGTTGATATGCCAACATTTCAATACATACAAAATATTATTTTACTTCTTGCAAATAACGTATAACTTTCGAGTTATTAACAAATTATGTATAAAAGTATGTTGTTAAATATATGTTTTAAACGTTGCATAATCAAAATATTATAGATGAAGACAATGGCTCTAGCTATACCACCAGACTCTCCAAAGAAGCCAGTGAAATCCACCGCAGTAGTGAAATATTCTGCGGTTCAAACACCAGCAACGTATGCTCAATTACAATGTAACACAGATCTGAATATGCCACCTAGCAATTGGCTCAGCAGCTCAGCAGAAAGTTATGGGTTACAAAATGTTTGGTCTCAGAGCACAGGGTTTTCTAGTTTTCGCATGGCACATATGTTTCCAGACTGTGTCGGTGAAGTTGACGTTGTATCTGATGCAGAAAATATTAAAAAGTTACTAAAGCTACCTTACAATCATGGTGTAATCTCAATGATGGTGCATCGTATTGAGAATACATTATTGCTGGATGATTTTGATATCCACAAGTATCTGTTGAGACAAGCCGAGAATGACTGGGAGTGGCTGAAGGAGTTCTTTTATGAGCATATCTTTCAAAATCTGGGTGATACGGAGAAACGCCTCTTCCACAAGGCATACAGTAGAAGTAGCTTGCAGCAGAGGAACTTGGTGTCCAAGTTTCTCTACCATTCCATCGTGCTCGCAGATACAGAGAAGCAGAATGAAAAACCTGAGTTACCTGTAAAAACGTTAGAACCATGTCTACCTGAGCCGACGCAGGAGGAGAAAGTACCTGATCCGAATTATAACCATAATTTCGCGAGGAACGTTGTATGGACGTTTGAAAATATACAGATGCTCGTTGGAACTGACATGCCGATATTCGGCGGCCAGACGCACCCGTGTATAAGTTTACGATTAAGAGACATGTCGAAACCTATCAATGTTTTGACAGGAATTGACTATTGGCTAGATAATTTAATGTGCAATGTTCCAGAGGTAGTAATGTGTTACCATCTGCATGGTATCGTGCAGAAATACGAACTGATAAAGACGGAGGACCTTCCAAACATGGACCATTCAAAATTTAGTCCCAAAGTGATCAGAGACGTCGCTCAGAATATATTGAGTTTTCTGAAAAATAATGCGACGAAGGCTGGCCATACCTATTGGCTGTTTAAGGGTAAGTATTAAGGCTCTTGGTCTTCTTGCTGCGGAATTCTGGATTGATGATGTCAGAAGTGACGTGGAAAAATCGTAAAAAAGATAGTCTAAAAAGGAAGGTTGCATGTCATCTCAGATAATACAGAGAATTCAAAAAGAATTCAGTCTTACGTCACCAATTCTGAGTTCATTTTTAGATGCAAAAAGAATTCTGTTCACTGAACTGAATTCTGAAGAATTCTTTTTGTGTCTGAAAATACTCAGAATTGGTGACATACAACTGAATTCTTTTTGAATTCTCTGTGCTATCTGATTTAATTCAAGACTATTTGTTGACTGTCAAGAAAAAAAAATAATTCTGAAAGAAAGTGTTCTTTCATACAAATATTTTTATTTGACAATAGCACGTAACAATTTATAGCATGCGTTTTTTATAGTATGCTTTTGATGTCATCGATCACAGCACTGAAGTCAGGAGCCTTGATAATATGTTTGCTTAATGATAAAAGTTGATGATAATAATATTTTATTGAATGCCTAGCTATATATCTAGATGTATCTTTTACAAAGCTTACAGCTAAAGGAATGTGTTCTTATCTGAATATTTTTGTTAGGTAAGGATGACGACGTTGTGAAGCTATATGATCTAACATCATTATGCAGCGATGTTTCAGAGGAGAAGGGGCAAAATCCCTTTACTGTGCCCGTTGCAATGTTATTATACAGAGTAGCTCGTAACATGAAATACTCGTCTGATTACCATCGTCATCAGGGCACGATCAGAATGCTGCTGAAGAATTGTATTCAGCTGTTACCCAAAGAGAAATACCCACAGATCGTTACATCCGCGCATTTTATGCTTTCGGATCTCTACGTACCATCAGACACGGATCCAGCTAGCCCCGGACTGTCGGATCAAAGCGACGAGGAAGACGCGCAAAGCGAATACAGTACAAACCACGAAACTGAGAAGGAAGAAGAGGAGGAGGAGGAGGAAGAAGAAGAAGCATGTGCGGCCATCAAATCCTTAACCTTAGCCAACAGTAAGTAAAAATTATCGACATTTCAGTCATCTTCAGAATTGTCTTACGAATTAAAATCGTGTTCACAGTGAAGGAGCAAATGGAACGCGAGCAACCAAAGTTCAAGGCGCCACCCATCTCCGGTACGATAGAGGAGAGATGCCTGTCCGGTTTGGAACATGTCACTTACGGTCTAGAGTGCCTTCAATATTTCCCGACCGAGGACAACAGCGACGAGGAACAGAAGAAAGCGGAGGAGCACGAGAAAGAGAAACGCGAGTACGAGGAGATGCATCCTAACGTGGCGAAGCCGTTTCAAGCAATCCCCATGCCGTATGCGCCGTTAAACCAGCAAGAGCGAAACGTGGCTACAGAGAAGAATCTAGAGAGTCACAATCCCGCGTACAAGAAGAAGACTAAGCAGAAGAAGAAGAAGAGCGAGAAGAATGTCGCGATGGAGGCAACGAATGAGAACGCGCTGCTATGCAAACCGAACACGCAGACTTTGCCCACGTGGCAAGCACCGAAGAAGAGCGACAACGTCAGTTGGAACGCTCATTTGAAGACGCTCTTGTACGAGAAGGCGTCGTTGATATTCGCCGTGCTCGCCGAGAAAGAATACGTCAACAAAAATTACGGCGCCTCTCTGAGATACGTACTGGAGGTGTTGTATTGCCAAAAGATATTGGAGATTTTCTGCAGCGTGCGAAACAACAAGTCGATCAGCTACATGTTGGGTCGCGCGGGAGACTGCTGCTTTATGGTCGTGCAGGATTGGGCCAACGTGGAGAAGCACAGGAAAGATTATGAGACGAAGGATGAAACGGAGGAGAAGATAATCGAGGAGTTGTACAGGATGGAAGACTTGGATATGAGTAAATGTCGAAATGTACACGCACTTAACAGCGCAATTAATATGTGTGTGTTATAGTGTGTGTATTTGTATAAGTAATCGTAGCTTTCTGACGTGTATCTTGTTACAGACGTTGCCGAATTACTCCCGACGAGATTGGAGAGTCTAGAATCCACTTTGATTTCCTCTCACAAGTGTTATAATAAGGCATTGTCGTTAGAACCAATCGATATGGATAAAAATAACTTGCTGAGACGTTTGGGGAACATCCACAACGAGCTCGGCGTGCTATTCATGAATCAAGCGGGCGGTACTTTCCAAATGGGAGGTAATTGTGTTTCGTCGAGAAATGATGGACTCGTGTCATTTGTTAATCGAGAAATTGTTATATATGTTGTATAGCGCCATGCCAGCAAGAAAGACGAGCAGAAGACTTGCCGAGCTCGAGGAACGTGACTGCACTTCTTACCTGTTCACTGAACCACCTGGAAGCCGGTATCAGAGCCTTCGAGGCTGTTCACGACGAAGCAAATCTGGCGCTCCTTCATTCGAATACGGGTCGATTGATGCGTCTCTGCGCGCACATGCATGCGAAGCAAAACGCTCAAGAACGACAGTTTTACAACAAGGCGCTTGCGAGTTATCAGAGAGCCCTACAGGTGTTGGGCGAGAGGAAAACGAATCCGACTATTTGGGATACGGTGACATGGGATTTGTCCACCACATTGTACTCAAGGGCCACGATGTTGCAAGATTATCCGATTGTTGGACAAAAGGTGATATGAATAAAATTTCATGCTATCCGTACGCACAGACTAACACGTTGATTGCCGCCTTGTTTACTGTTAATTACTAACAAAAGCTTAAAAACCTAAAAATAAATATTTGTCGTTTTATCTATTAAGTAGGAAGTCTGGTATTAGAAGGAAAATATAGAAAATTCTCGTTAGAAGTCTACAAAAATAATGAGTCGACGTTGTTCATTTTATGAATGTTGTATCACGCCATTTTTTGACAAGGAAAACTTCATTAACACGTCAAGTGCCGTGACTATACCACGAATTAACTAAACAAATTGTTTCTATTGCAGAGCGAGGAGGAATTAGAAAGAGAAGTGGTCGATATGCTTCAAAAAGCATTGAAGCATTGCGAAGTAGACACACCGGGGTCGCGACAGCCAGTCTATCAGTTCCGTGCCGCGAACATCCAGCATCGATTGGCTTCGTTGTATCATCGCGTGTACAGGGAACTCGAGTCTGATATGGATAACACCAAGAAGAAGACAAGCTTACAGTTGTGCAAGCTGTATTACGATAAAGCGGCGAAGCTATTGCTGTCGTTAGAACAGACAAAGGAATTTTTGACGCTGCAATTGGAGAGAGTCGCTCTGTTGGAATACCAAGCGCGCAGTATGTCAATTCCCTTTGGAAGAGTTACTATTTACTGTTCGTTTGACTTTCCTGTTATAATAGGACATTGCATTCGCGTTTTCAGGTGGCACAACTTTCAATAGTAAGGTAAAGGCGTATCAGAACGCTTTGGACTTGATTTTGCAATGTATACCCATCATAGAGTTGCTCTACGAACGCAATAACGCGACCAAGGACAAGAATGAGACAGTCGACGATGAAGCGGAGGATGACGTAGCTGCACGCGAAGAAGCGGCCGAGGATCAGAAGTTGAGGGACGAGGAGGAGAAGCTCATCGTTCTGCTCGAGCAAAGAGTGCAATTTATTCTACGTTCGTTAACCAAGTTGTTTCTCAGCAAAAATCCCGGATGCAATAAGAAAGAGTACGTCGTTTTCAAATCTATATATGCGCGGTTGTTCACAAAACGAGCGTAGATCGCGTCACAAATGAGAAGTCACGGAAGTGTCTTAATTTAATGTGGTGATTCTTTTCGATAAAATTTCAGGAACGAGACTCTCAGCAATCAGTACAGACAGTGTTATGCCCGTACGTTGCGAGCGGATGCGATGTCCGGGTTTGCGCTAGTGAAGCACATGAAAGTTCTTCTGCAAGAACTCAGCGATATGATACCGCGGACGGATTCGATTTAATCCGACCAATAGCAGCCTGTGTAATTAAGAACTTGTACGGAGCCTGTAATTATGTATAATACGGGAGCTACTTTTTGGAAGATCGACGAAACATGATAGTTCCATCGGTCTTTTGAAATCACGTAGCGTGTACAGAGCGGAGCAAGGCGGTAACAACGATCGTTATCTTAGGCGAGAAAGTTATAACTGACTAAGAAAGAATACTGACACTTTTCACTACATCGTACAGTGTAATAAGAAAGAGAATGATCTTTTTAGTCTGTCCTATGTAAATAAAATATGTATTTTTATTCCAGAAATAAAAAGAATAGCTCACATATGCCACGTAGTCTCCAAGCGCAATTTTTCCATTCGCGAAACCGAAAATCGTCCATTACTTCCCACGGAAATAACCGTTGCTTTCTGAAATTTCGGAAAGACCTCACGAATTCTCCCGAGAAACTGACGATTTCTCCTCGGCGCCCTTTATCGCGACTAATTAATCCCCGAATTTCGCCGTGGCGGCTCCTACCTGACGAGGAAGCGATGACGGGATGGGGGGAATGGGCGGTGTGCATGTGTGGGCACGACATCTTGATTGAAATAAAGACAGGGTTGGAGGGTGAAGTTGAAGTCTAAATCTATCGCTAAGGTCGAAGTTCGGTACGCGTTCTCCGTGTCTCCGGCCGCCAGCGGGAAGACGGATGGCGGTATGAGAGTTTGAATGAGGCTACGCGCGCTCAGCCGTGCCGGCTTGTATAAGTTTCTGATATACACGAGAGCGAGCGGGCCGCGCCCGTCGCTCGGTCGACCGGAAACTCGATAAAAAACTCATTTATTAGAGAATCCGAGATGAACCGTTGTTGCGTGGTCGAGAAGGGAAAGGCGAAAGCACGGTCAGAGTGGAAGATTAAAGGAGAAAGAGGGGCGCAAGAGTCTGGTAAATCAGTGTTATTGAGCTCGACGGTGCGTGCAGCAGAAACGTTTTCGCGTCATCGGCTTTGCTGTGATATCTGTTTCGTCAGGTATCTTTTCGAAAACATGCGCGCGCGCGAGAGAGAGAAAGAAAGAGAGAAAGAGAGACCTCAGGCTAGAGTTGTATTACAGATTTCAAGATTACGTCTGCACGGATTGTTTACGTATTATATATGTTAGATATACAAATGTATATATATACCGTCTTTTTTACGTAGATAATCTAAACTATTAGGTGTACAAATTAATTCTCGGCCCCTTTTAATTTTATTGACTACAGAATCTATTCAAATTGGAATTTTTTCCCATATAGTTATTTTAAAGTCTTTTAGCTTTAAGATGAAGTATAATACTTGATCCTATTGTAAATATAACCTGAAAAATCAGTTGTAGACGGAGTGTTGCTCGAAAAGCAACATTTGAGACACTGCCTTTTTTTTGCATTTTCAACTTAAAAGAAACGCGGTTGAGGCGAGAGAAATGATTTGTCGGCTTTGGGTGAAAACGCTGTATCATACAGCACGTGTAAAAAATGGTTCCAATAGTTTCGAGAGGGAAATTTCAAGATAATGTACGCCCTGGTCAACCAAAAAGAGTGGAAGACGAAGAGTTGGAGCAAATTTTGGACGAGAATCCTTGCCAAACTCAACTGAAACTTGTAAATGCATTTGGAGTGACACAGCAAATCATCTCCTATCACCTACAGAAGCTGGGGAGGATTCGCAAGGAATCCCGGTGGGTCATGAGCTCACTCCCGAAAACAAAAGCAGACGCCACGATACTGCTCTCTCCTTGCTTTAAAGAAAAAGGATTTTTTGCACAAAATTGTTACTTGTGATAAAAATTGGATATTGTACGATAATTCTAAGAGGCCAAAAACATGTTTGTCCAGGTGAGCCATCAACGAGCACCGCAAAACCGAACATCCATGCAAAAAGTGTTGTTATGCATTTGATGGGATCAGAAAGACGTGATCCACTATACAGATGCTCCGACCTGGTCAGATCGTTACTTCTGAGCTCTACCAACAATAGCTGATTCGTGTGAATGACGCATTTGAAGAAAAAAGGCTATTTACTGGCAGTGGGAGAAGGACGGTGATACTGCTGCAGGATAACGCCCGGCCCCACACAGCAAAACAAACTCTGAAAACTATCTCAGATTTAGGCTGGGGAAATTCTCTTTCATGCGGCGTATTCTCCAGACTTAGCCCCTTCTGATTACCACGTATTCCGATCCCTACAACACTACCTAACTGATTCTCAATTCAAGTTAGTTGAACAGGTCAAAAAAAGCTTCGATGAATTCATTGAATCAAAACTACCATCATTTTTCCGATCTGGAATCCGACAATTGCCTGAGAGATGGCAAAAATATACAGAAAGCGAAGGAGATTACTTTGAAGTTTGAGTTTGTATTAATGTTTTTATAAATAAATGTTAAAGTTGGTAAAAAAAGGCCGAGAATTAATTTGTATACCTAATAGATAAAGAGAGAATATTATAAATTATATGGAAATATACATAAAAAAAAATTATTAAATTAAATCAGGCAGCTACTATACACGTTTTGAGATATTAATTCCCAGCAAACGCCAATTAATGGTAACATTATGTCAATACTGTTACAATTTCCCACTCAACAGTGTAACTGTTACATAACACATGTGTTATATCGCATGTATACGTATTGTTGACTGGGAAATTACAACACTAACGTAATGATACCGTTAGTTGGGTTATGAATGTATTGTTTGACATGTTCACTACCAACATCATACATGTGTGACGTTGATCATTTTTCGAGGGTTCATCTTTACTCAAAATTTACAATTTTACTTGACATGTGTTCGCTAACCAACGTCATATATGTGACATCTTTCTTTGTATATCCACAATATAAACCAACCAAGTCTGTTTTGCACAATTACATGAATATAAATGTGATGTGGTCTGTGGTGCGAATTCCCCGAATAAACCGTGATAGCGAACGTGTTAAAAAAGGTAACAGATTGCACGAAATTTTAATTTCATTTTAGTCTTTAACTTCACCCCTACTGAATACACTTCGTCTTTATTTCATAAATTTATATCGGGATTTATTTAATTTTTAGAATCCTTATGTAAATTTATACATAAACATTGTTTTCTAAACAAAATTAAGGTCCACAGAATTCTTCAATTATATTTTTACCTTCACAGTTGGATATATAAATCTGTCACATAATGAAATGAAAATTATAAATACAATATTTAAAACATATAATAAGTTGCATGAAATTTTTATTTGATATGCGATAGATTGGTAGTTTTAATACTGAAAAGAGATAAGAACGTAAATATAGAGAATTCTACAGATTCTAACTTGTCTAGATAACATTCATAAATTTACAGATATTCTAAAAATTAAATAAAAATACTAGTTTTTCTTAGTTAATTATTGAGCGAGCCACACTTTTTTTAAACATCTACAGAGCACTCATTGTCTACACAGATGACAACTCATATATAATTTATGTCATCTACGTAAATTATCGCAATTTATCTATAATTAATTATTAATTAAACGTAAACGTCCTGACCGAGAAGTTAGTAAATTCATCTTCGTACCGTGATTTACTTCACACATACACGCAGCGCGAGGCTCTAAAATGGTACAAGTGTCGTGAGTGATTGAGTGGGACGCGCATACGACAGCGGAGAAAAAGAGGACAACGAATAAAATGATCAATAATGATAACAAAGCGTCAAGAATAAAGCAACACGAATGAGATACAAAGACGATTATCGTTCACGATTATTGCATTTTTTTGCGGGAGCGCTTTTTTCTTGACATGCAACCATAATAAGCTCTATTATCCCCATATCGGCAAGCGCACGCATAGGATCGCCCGGAGGATTTCCCGGCTGGAACTCACGTCATAATGTCTCATAGTATATTCATTCATTATCGGTGCGTTTCTTCCCGTGTACAATATCGATTACCGAACCGGATATGCGCACGTGCAATTGTATTGTTATTAATCTCTGCGGGGATTATGATCCGGATCTCAATTGTTATTAATCAGTGCGCGAGAGGACAGGGCACACTTTTGACGCTGAAAACTAGAACTCGGAAATGGAACCGGCCAATATAGACACGTATTAATAGTTATTACTTGAAACTTGGCTCAGGTGAGATACTCAGATTTGTGAATTTAGAGATGTCAGATGTCAGATGTGAATTATCCAACTGGGGAGTCGCGAGTAAATATCTCATATAGTTTAAATAAAAGATCCAAGTCTAACTCTAAATTCAAATCTGAGTATTTCACGTGGACGAGTTTCAAAAAACTTTTAATACGGGTTATAGAAAACTGACTATTACCCATCCGTTATCCGTTCTACACAGATAAGAACTGGTTCCGCAGGTACCCGCATGACACGGGTACCTGCATCTGACGTTTATGCTGCCACTATTCTGTCAAAAAGCAGAAGGAATAGTGACAAAGAATAGTGGCAATCGTCATACGTAAACTACGTATGAGATGTCACTTGTGTAAGCAATGAGTGCTTTGTGAACGTTGCTTAAAGAACGTGTGACTCGCTCAATTTAATCATTGTAATTAACTAAGAAAAGCTTGTACTTTCAACTTTTAGGATCTCTCCCATAAATTTATAAACGTTTTTTTCTAAACAAATTAGAGTCTGCAGAATTCTGTTAAATATATTTACGTTCTCATCTCTTTAGTGTTAAATCTACCAATCTGTCATATAATGTAATAAAAATTTCGTGCAATTTGTTATCTGCTTTAAACATTATATTTATAATTTTCATTTTATTATGTGATGTCACGAGCATCCGCGGAACTGGTTCTTATCCGTGTACAATCGATAACGGTATCCGGGCATTCCGGGCTCCGGTAAAAACGCATCCTCCGCGTCCTCTCGTCCTATCGATCGAATCTCTCGACTCGGCGAATCGTGCAGCGCGCTGCACAATGAATTCAACTTTACACAGAACGCTGAGAAATCGAACCCGCAATTTTTTTCCCGTCCCCTTCTCTCTCTCTCTCTCTCTCTCTTTCGAAGCCGGAAACGATCGGTCGCGTGTCCAAACGCATTCCCGCCGTGATCTTCCGCAGCGCCCGAGGACGCGCGTGCGGCATGCGCATATCCGAGTAATATACTGCGCGCTGTTGCGGGCGATAGGCAAAGGCAATCGCACTGGCGCTCGCTTGATTAATTTTAACGAAGGTAGGAACCAATCCATCGCGTCGACGGCGCGGCACCGGCGGCAGAGGCGGCGGCGAAGTCGACCGGTCGAAGATCGATGAACTACGCGAGCGGATGGCCGAGCCGGCCCGCCGAGATATAACAATTCCAG